AGAGAGAGAGAGAGAGAGAGAGAGAGAGAGAGAGAGAGAGAGAGAGAGAGAGAGAGAGAGAGAGGAATCAGAGTTATCCTCCTGATGCACGCGTGCACACCCACAGAGAGAGCGAGGGAGAGAGGAGTCAGAGCTATCCTGATGCACGCGTGCACACCCACACAAACACAAACACACACACACACACACACACACACACAGAGAGAGAGAGAGAGAGAGAGAGAGAGAGAGAGAGAGAGAGAGAGAGAGAGAGAGAGAGAGAAGCATGACGCATGAAGCATGAAGCAAGAAAGAAGGTTGTGACTGAGAAGAACAGGAGTGCTGACAACGTGTACTTACTATGGAGCTTACGAAGATCAAAGAGAAAGCGATCGACTCTGATGATTCCGTTCCGTGAAGGTGAAGCCGCACGAATGCCTTCTCCAGCCCTGACCGCAGTCCTCTGCTGTCGCAGTTGCCATTCACCAGAGTCACCAGCCACCTCCTTTCTCCTTGCCGGTGTACTTTCAACTCCCAATAGCACTGGGCGAAACGAAAATGATATCTTCGCAAACTTGAAGATGAGCGCGCTTTATAGAATGACTGCCTGGCCTCGGTTTGCGCAACGAGCTGCCGTAGTCCTTTCCCTGGTTTGCCATGCAGCCTGGAAGCAGCGTGTAGTACTTCACTCATCTGCATCTCGTTCCAACGGAGTTCGAACTCAGGTCCTCCTATTTCAACAACCGAGGGGGGTACCATCTGAGCTACCTACAGTAGGTAGTCAGTGGTAGCAGCCTGTAGTCTCTCCTCCAGTCTCAAGCGGTGAGAACGGCCTGACCGGGGGCGGGGGCAAGGTCCCACTTGCACGGATTACGAGATTCTGGCCGTTGATCTGTGCAATCTACTACGGTCAATATATATCTCTTAATTCGTGTTAAGTGGGACCTAGCCCCGGGGGCCAAGTCCCACAAGCAGCGTTGAGCTACCTCAACGCCTGAATATGGACGCTTTTGCGGACATGTGCAGAAATGGTGTTGAGTTTCCTGAGCTGCACGCCTCCACAAACACATCCACATTCAGGCGTTGAGGTAGCTCAACGCTGCTAGTGGGACTTGGCCCTGGCGGACTTCAGAGCCTTGGCACACTACTCGACAAAACGTGGAACATGGCACGTGCACCTTACGGCGACGGTAGCACTGCGATACAGTGGGCCTCGCTGCACTACTCTCCGCATGCACGAAAGACGAAAAATTCGCAATGCATCTTTCCGTGCTCTAGGGGAGTATTCAGTGTCATTTTGCCCACTTGGAGAGTAGCGGAGCCAGGCCCATGAGCCACTATTCATACGCGCGAATGCATGTTACCAGCTTCTGTGTAAAGATGCATTCGTTCACCGCCTTTTATGTTTGGTGAGCTGTGCGGCGGTTCAGCCAGTGAGAGCGGCCGACGAGAGTTCGAAGCGCCGGTAAACCGCGGCTGCAGCCGGGCCCGCCGCGCGTACTTCTTTTTACTTTCCCTTTTTTGTTTTAACAAAATTAATAAAGATGAAAGGAGGGCGACGTTGACGGCCTCGAGATATGATCATCATCGAGCTGACCGTCCGCAGGCAATTTTTTTCTTTTTTTCTTTTTGTGCGCAGGCAATTTAGAATTCTTTTATTGTTTTTGTTTTGTAAAAAAAAAAAAAAAAAAGCATTCTTCTATTCCATCCATGTCATGGGGACTCGAGCTGCGGGTGTTCACTTTATCTTCGCCAAAAGGCCGAGAGAACCCACTTAGCTCAGCTGGGACAAGAATAGGTAGTGCATATGGCTAAACGCCAGTTAAAATATGTGATGTGAGAGAGAAATTGAGAGAAGAACATAGCTTTTGAAAAAAAAAAAAAAAAAAAAAGGGAATAGATAGATAGTGCACTTTATCTTCGCCAAGAGGCCGAGAGAACCCACTTAGCTCAGCTGGGACACCCCTGGGGGCAAGTCCCACTGGCAGCGTTGAGCTACCTCAACGCCCGAATCTGGACGCTTTTTAGGAGACGCGCAGAAGTGGTGTTGCGTTTCCTGAACTGCACGTCTCCACAAACACGTCCAGATTCAGGCGTTGAGGTAGCTCAACGCTGCTAGTGGGACTTGGCCGCTGAGCTGTTGCAATCCAAACCCAGGCTCGAATCCAGAACAGAATCATTCTCAATTACCTACTGGTCAGTCAGTTCGATGATGATATCTCAAAGGCCAAAAGGTCAAAAAAAAAAAAAAAAAAAAAAGTGGGGTAACTACGCGGGAGTCACAAACACGAGTTATATAAGGCCGAGAAACTCATAACAACGAGAAAGTTGCACGGCAAATAATTAAAAAATAATAATAAAAAACAATGCCCTGCCATTTGGCTCACGCCATGCCTGCGACCGCCGCATGCGTTACCGCTGACCGCACATTGGTTGGATTGGATGGAAGAAGTTACCAGCGTTGTATTTGTACTCCCGCCGAGACCGGGGGCTACCTAGGTCCCCCTTGCACGAAAGAATTAAGAGATACTGACCGTAGATCGCAAAGATCAACGGCGCAGATCTCCTGAAAATTTGCGCAAGTGGGACCTTGGCCCGGGGGGTATTTTACCGTCGGTCCCGCCCTACCCCCCCCCCCCCCCCCCCCCCCCCCCCCCCCCCCCCCCCCCCCCCCCCCCCCCCCCCCCCCACTGCCTGGCGTGTGCACCCGCCTCCGCCAGCACGGACTGCCACTCGTTCCATTTATGCGGGCGTGGCGATGCGGACTGCCAACGCGGCAACTGACTGGCACGGGATCTGGGGTCAGATTTATCCACACAGGAGGGGGGCATCATCAGTCATCAGAGGGGTGGCAAAAGCACAATACTACGGGTAGCGAGCCCATGAAGGGATCGATAAACAAAACTGAGTTGGAATCCGATTGGGCAAACAAGAAGAAGAAAAATAGAAAGGCACAGGAACAAAGGAAAAGTCGAGTGGCTTACGTGGCAGGTGACAAGAGGAAGAAATGTGCACCAAGAACTTGGGCATTGCTCAACTGCATAACACTCTACATGCATCTGGACGCGATTCGGACCAGGTGCATGGGGATGAGTTCAACACTTTCGAATGCGTCCGGTCTAGAAGGCGTTTAAAATGCATGTAGACTCTTGTAGAGTGTTGTGCAGTGGAGCGAGGCCCCCTTATTTAAACTTTTCTTTATGCTGGCGGCGATCCCAAGATCAGAAAGAAAAAAAAGATTAGATTTGTTCACCGTGATCCCAACGCACTGTTGTGTTGTGATTTATTTTTTTATTTTTTATTTATTTATGCATGTCATCGCAACAGCCAGTTTGGAAAACGTTGAGAACCGCCCACGCTGCGGCCGGTCTTCGGCCGAATAGAACGTAGGGTCATTATGGCCGTCTCTCGACTGAAATTTCCCCCAAATGCAGGCATAATGACCGTACGTTACGTAGGCGTTGCGTCTTGCGCAGGAAATAGAACACAGCCAGAAACACGAAGGGGGGAGGCCAGAAATAACCACTCCTCTTTTGAATCGACAAAACTGGCCAGATACGGCTCACAACTGGGCCCAGTCCTTAGGAACATGATCCATTGAAATTGGGGCCATACAGAGTATATTAGTCTATCTTTTCAAGGTAAGCTACATGATTCTTCTCACAATTTCACTTCACACTACCTACCACTACTGCTAATTATAGTCATAAGGGGAACCCCGTAGCAGCCAGAACCGTGTTCACGAGAGAGAACACGCGGGGGCTGCCCCCGACCTGCAGGTGCACTGGGCGATACTGACCCCTGTGGAAGCAAAGCCGGCCGGATCAGCACACCCATGCTCACCTTCGCATCCAGGGGCAGACATGCTCTTGATCATCTGGACATCCAGGTGCAGTCTGGACTCACTCCACTACTCTGTCTTTCTTTTGTTCTTTTTTTTTTTTTCATTAAATAGCCCCTGCGTAAGCCCTCTATCCTGCCGGTGGTGAGAGAACCGTCAGAATGGAGGGCTTATCTGTCGGGCTGCTCCATCAATTCGTGGGGAGCGGCACCTGCGGGAAACCAGGCCCAGCGTCCCATTCAAATATCTTGTGCCACGGAGTTTGCTGTTTATTTTCCTAGGGCCGTGGAAATTTCTCGTCTCAATCCAGGGCTCCATTTCCCCTGGAGCTGCTGATATCACCCATCCCATCTTGTAGTAGCACAATTGTAACGTGCCAGCTGCTGTACCTGAACGAGCTTCCCAAGCCCTGAGTTTTGCTATTTGCGCTTTTTCTATCTTTAACGGGCGCCCAACCTCACGCCCAGCGCGACTTCCTGTTTCGGAGTGTTAGGGGGCCCGGGAGTGCGAAGAGGGGTGTGACAAGGATTTTAGGAAAGTGGGGGTGGAGTCCCAGGTCAGAACTGAGATCTCCGGTGGCAAGCTTAGGGGTAGTTGAGCGAGATGGTGGTCCCGAGTTATATTGGACTTCGGGAGACTGGGCTACCTCCGGTATGAGTGTCGTCGTCGCGGTCGGTCCCGTCTCTGGTGGGCCGGTGGGTCACTATGGCTGTCGTGCTGTTCGAACAGCTGCCGGCGCCGCTCGACCTCGGCTCGGGTTCGTCGGATAAATGCTGAGGTCCGATACGCCTGGTGCTGCCGGCACTCTTCGCACAGTGTCCAGGGCCAATAGCGAGCTATGGAATTCCACGGTACCAATGTGAGCTGATGGTAGGGGAGGAGGAGATGGAAGGGAGGAAAACTGGTATGATGTGAAGCCCGGAGATATGTAATACTGAGTGTTGTTAGTATTCGGGTAGTTCGAACCGCGAGGATCGTTGGTTATGGTCCAGTGAAAGTCCCCCGCGCACAGTCGGTCGTTCTCCATCAGACAGGGGAATTTCGGGGTCTCAAGTTTCCCCGCCGTCTGAGTTGTTCACCCTCCCAGTACTCGCGCAACTCCGGGTCCCTCAGACTCTTACGATCGGTGATTCAAAAGGGGGGTTTTGCAACCATATCCGATTAGTGAACTAGGTCTCCCGCATCCTCATAATGAGTCAAGATCGAGGTCGACTCATGCAAACGCGGGCGTATGCTGCGACTCGGTTTCCTCAAGATCATGGTCGTACGCGAGCGCGCACATGAGCGGAAGCTGATCAGGCGCGGGTTCCTCGCGCCGGTGTATTGGTTGTGTCCTACCTGCATGCAACTATCCTACCCATACTATTTCATTTGGGATCCAGTCATTGCATTCACATCCATGCCATTCATGCGACGAAGAGAAAGGAGAGGGGCAATTGCCCTGGTATCAAGGGCCAACACCTCACAGAATCAACGATCAAAGCTAATGATTAAACCCAAACATCCATAGCGAGTGTTTCCAATCAGACCCGGGATTATTGCACAACGCAGATGGATACTAGAAAGCGACAAAATTTAAACTAAACAGGCATTGCAAAACAGGATTAAAAAAAATCTGAAAAGATCACTCGAAGAGGGTTCGCATCCATTCCATGCAAACACACGAGGCAAAATGGCAAAGAAAACTCGAAACGATTTACAAGAAAAAAAACAAAAGTGCCGTAACAAGATCGGTCAAAATAGAGATCAAAATTATACAGAGGATTGGCAGAAGAGACCTCATCCCGCACATAGTTGCTCTCTCTCTCTCTCTCTCTCTCTCTCTCTCTCTCTCTCTCTCTCTCTCTCTCCTGTCTCTTATACACATCTAGATGTGTATAAGAGACAGCCTATACAGTGGCTATACTTCCTTCCTACGTCCTCACTGCACTCTCTCTCTCTCTCTCTCTCTCTCTCTCTCTCTCTCTCTCTC